TTTCATAGCATTGTACGAAATTTGAAATTTTTCCGTCGTTGCTCACTTTTGAGTGAAATACAAACAATAATATTTCCGTACCGGTGCCACTGGTAGAGAAAATGAAAATTTTTGTACATCATAAAATGCACCTTGATGCATAAAAGACGTGTACCAAATTTTATGGAGAAGTAAACAATATTGTCTCATTTATTACAAAACAATCTGAATATTTTTCAAAACTTCATCACCTTGTATCTTAAAAGTTCAGACTTTAAGGAATACCCTGTATATACATAGACTCGGACATTGAATCTGAACAGATGTCTTGAATCGATTATCCGACAGCTACATAAAATTTTCTAGTTGAATTTGTTTGTTCCGTTTTTCCTCGGTTTTTCTCGAAATCAGTGTACCTCAAACAGTTTCAACAAATTGAGCTTCTTCCTACAACATTGCATTCTCTTTCATATCGCCAGTTCTTCACCACGTTCGCCACCCATGTTTTTTTCCTGAAAAATTACACACTACTGAGTGATTCACCAGAATATCAAGAATTTTTGTTGAGCGGTTATCCAGTAGTTCAATGAAAATTTTTTTTTTTTTTCAACTTCAAAACTCTGTATTTCGCAAACAAAGCCTCCTACGACCTATTACGTAGTGATGCCAACCTGTGGGAATTTTCCCATATTATGGGAATATTTTTTGAAAAAATATGGAAATGGGAAAAAGGGGAGAAAAAACCAATTTGCTCGAAATATGGGAATTTTCGTAATTGACTACATGCTGGCCTGCGCAGTCTGTCAAATGGTTTCTGCACTTATTGTTGGATTGCTGGTCAACCACAGACGCAACCATCTTCTTATGTTAGTGTTCTGAGATTCTGTGTCGTGTGTCCGACTGACATGACAATATCCGTAGCCGTTTCATGCTCCGAGTCTGTTGTATGATCGAAGGTTTCATGTTTCATACACAGAACACAAATGACAGAAGCACAGAACTATTCGTGTGTCAAACATCTCGAAATTTCGACATAGTTAACTTGAAATTTCGACATGATTGTTATCTCGAAATTTCGAGGTTTCATGAAAAGTCATATGAAACCACAGATCTCATAGACCTATGAAACCGGCGTTATTGATGGTTCTTGGCCATTACAAAATACATCTAGATCTAGGTACCCACGACGGATGAAAGTTTTGGTTCACTGTTTTCTCAGTTTTTCAACTCAGATCTCTATTATATATGAGTGTTAAGATTTTGAAAATGAGGACATAAACCTCAAGTATCGAAAATGGGTATAAACGGCTTAGTTCGAACTTATTCTCAACTCGCTCTAAATAATGAAGAGATACTAATAAGTACACAGAATACCATTCTGTGGCTGTGAGCTCAGACGAAATTTCCAAATTTCGTCTTACATAAGATGAAATTTCGAGTTAGTAAGACGAAATTTCGACTTGGTAAGACGAAATTTCGACTTAGTAAGTCGAAATTTCGATTTAATAAGACGAAATTTCGAGTTACTGAGACGAAATTTCGACTTCTTGAGTCGAAATTTCGACTTCTTAATTTTTTTCCACTGGCACTCCTGAGCTTTCGTAGAATATAATTATTGACCGAAATAGTTTTTTTTTTCATTTGAATACACTTTTCAAGCTAAAATAAACATGTGGATAAAATTGGACATCTTTGAATTTGTGTGGGAAAAAAGGGGAAAATATGGGAATTTCTTGGCACTCACTAGGGAATTTTCATCAAAATAGGTTGGCAACACTTCACGGGAACTTTTTTCATTTTTTATTACCTCTTGAAGTGGGTCCCACGTATTATGAAACACCCTATAAGTACATGAAGCGCGAGATAAAGCTAGACCTCTATGAGCAAGATATAAAGTGGTAGTGGTTGTAGTTTGACCACGATTAAAAATCAAAAATGAGTTCACCCACTTGTTGAATATCCATTCCTGATAATAAACCTATCCACTTGGCAAAAAAATAGTTAACCGAGTGCGATAAAAAAATAATATACAGGGGTGGTAACTCGGGTGGTAAGTCCTTGAGATGGACACATTTTTTAATGAATGCAAACCTCGATGCAAACGTTCGACGAAACATTCCACGTCTGAAATACCTACTAGAGGAGGTAGGAATTCATAATATCACTAAGCATTGACTAGATTTTCAATAGGTGTGATACGAGACGTGATAGGTGTGTATTGTGTGATTGAATGCGGCAGAAAAACCTAAATTCCCCTAGTGTTTTAATCTGACAGCCCGCATACCATGGTGTGTGGTGTCAGGGTCAGTGTTCAATCTTTGGTATAATATCTACCTACCGTTTGCCTCGCATTTTACTGTAAATCTGTTTGTTTTATTGACGTGGATACCACAATTGACTTTGACAAATAACAAAATTAAAACAAAACAAAAACAGCTTATATTTTGTTTATTGATAACAGAATAAAGAATTGAAATTTTTTTCAGATGAACTAACACGACTCACTTTTCTATGAAAACGTCCAAAGATGCATTAAAGTATGGCTACTTATAAATTATTATAATCATTGAACATCATTTATGAATTCGTGTTATATGAGTGATAGAAGTAACAACTATTTCATTCTCAGTATATAAACAAAAATGAGTGAGATTCGATTCAGTATAAACACTAAGTAAAGGATTGGAATACCTTTCAAACGATGTATCGCACGACCCGTTTTTCTATTCAAAATTGTTGACTTGATATCTACCCATGGGGCGATAATTGAATAGATATTGACAATGAAAATATATCAAATCAAACAATGTATCACACTGCCTGTGGTGTCGAGCTGGTTCAAAATGTATTAGTTGATATTGCCCCATGGGGCACTGTCAACTTGCAAATTGCGAATATCAAAAGGGGTCGAATGATACCTTATTTGAAAGGTATTTTAGTGCTCTGTCTATTTAATTGTAGATTATTTGTGGTGCCCGGTGGGTCACTATCAACTTCTAAACTTTTATATCGAAGGGGGTCGAGTAATATTTCTTTAGAAAGGTAATTCGATTCTCTATCGAATGTTTACGACTATTTCGGTTTCCCTGCATTATCGATGCAGATGAAAGCGCCAATATTACTAGATTTATGTTTTTCTGCTTCTAGAAGCACTCCCCACTTATAGATAGCCCGTTTTGTTTACATATATAAATATAAATTGATAATGAAAATATATCAAATCAAACAATGTGTCACACTGCCTCTCGAGCTGGTTCAAAATGCATTAGTTGATATCGCCCCATGGGGCCACTGTCAACTTTCAAATTTCGAATATCAAACAGGGTCGAGTGATACCTTATTTGGAAGGTATTCTAGTACTCTGTCTATTTAATTGCAATAGGTATAGGTGATTGATTGTGGGGCCCGTAGGGTCTCTATCAACTTCTCAACTTTGATATCAAAAGTGGTCGAGTAATATCTCTTTAGAAAGGTAATTCGATTCTCTATCGAATGGTTACGACGATTTCGGTTTCCCTGCATTATCGATGCAGATGAAAGCACCAATATTACTAGAATTATGTTTTTCTGCGTCTAGAAGCACTCCCCACTTATAGATAGCCCGTTTTATTTACATATATAAATATTAATTGATAATGAAAATATATAAAATCAAACAATGTGTCACACTGCCTCTCGAGCTGGTTCAAAATGCATTTGTTGATATCGCCCCATGGGGCCACTGTCAACTTTCAAATTTCGAATATCAAACAGGGTCGAGTGATACCTTATTTGGAAGGTATTCTAGTACTCTGTCTATTTAATTGTAATTGGTACAGGTGATTATTTGTGGTGCCCGGTGGGTAACTATCAACTTCTCAACTTTGATATCAAAAGTGGTCGAGTAATATCTCTTTAGAAAGGTCATTCGATTCTCTATCTAATGGTTACGACTATTTCGATTTCCCTGCATTTTCGATGCAGATGAAAGCGCCAATATGTTTTTCTGCGTCTAGAAGCACTCCCCACTTATAGATAGCCCGTTTTGTTAACATATATAAATATTAATTGATAATGAAAATATATCAAATCAAACAATGTGTCACACTGCCTCTCGAGCTGGTTCAAAATGCATTAGTTGATATCGCCCCATGGGGCCACTGTCAACTTTCAAATTTCGAATATCAAAAAGGGTCGAGTGATACCTTATTTGGAAGGTATTCTAGTACTCTGTCTATTTAATTGCAATAGGTATAGGTGATTGATTGTGGGGCCCGTAGGGTCTCTATCAACTTCTCAACTTTGATATCAAAAGTGGTCGAGTAATATCTCTTTAGAAAGGTAATTCGATTCTCTATCGAATGGTTACGACTATTTCGATTTCCCTGCATTTTCGATGCAGATGAAAGCGCCAATATTACTAGAGTTATGTTTTTCTGCGTCTAGAAGCACTCCCCACTTATAGATAGCCCGTTTTGTTTACATATATAAATATTAATTGATAATGAAAATATATCAAATCAAACAATGTGTCACACTGCCTCTCGAGCTGGTTCAAAATGCATTTGTTGATATCGCCCCATGGGGCCACTGTCAACTTTCAAATTTCGAATATCAAAAAGGGTCGAGTGATACCTTATTTGGAAGGTATTCTAGTACTCTGTCTATAAAATTGCAATAGGAATAGGTGATTGATTGTGGGGCCCGTAGGATCTCTATCAACTTCTCAACTTTGATATCAAAACTGGTCGAGTAATATCTCTTTAGAAAGGTAATTCGATTCTCTATCGAATGGTTACGACTATTTCGGTTTCCCTGCATTATCGATGCAGATGAAAGCGCCAATATTACTAGAATTATGTTTTTCTGCGTCTAGAAGCACTCCCCACTTATAGATAGCCAGTTTTGTTTACCTTTTACCTATATTCGGAGTTACTCATTAGGCACGGTATCGCGTGGTATCGTGGACGATGGTACCATTGGTACCGCTGTGGTACCGTCGTCAGCGGTTATACAGTCATCGCCTACCTACTCCATATGTTACAGAAACAACAAAAGAGGATATCACGGCCTAGCATGATGTCACCGACTGTGGAAGAGCAGCTCTTGGTAAACGGCAACGGGACTCCCAGTTTCGTATTGACATCCGAAGGTGCTTCGCAGGTACAACTCATACGTAATTAGCCGTAATTTGCTTGGTTAGAAAAATTCTAAATAGTTCGTTCTGTACGTGACGAAGTTGAAAAGTGGCGATGAATTTCAGTGTCATTTGAGTTCGATGTGTGTGGTTCAGGCACAGTTCAAGGTAGCTTTGAATAAATCGTAGAAAATCTGGCACAGGTACAGTATGTTTCATATACCTACTTACGGCCAGACTATTTTTATGTTGCATGTTCTGTGTAGGGGAAAGTGGCTGTGAAAAAAGTCGAAGGAAATTAATTTTGAACTTATGCAATAGGTATTTTTTTAAAATTTCCTTTGGTACTCACGTATTTTCGTCCGGAAAATACGAATTTCATGATATTTATGAAATTATAGTTTTCCAGGCAAGAATGGGTGAGTACCAAAACATTTTCGAAAAATAACCCATCGCATAAGTAATAAGTATAAATTTAACAAGTGTTAAAGAAGTAGACTTCATTAGACATTGATTTATTCAAACATTGAGTATGTATGTTTCATTCAAAAATGATTGCATTCAGCCGTGACTCACATAATTTTTTGCTGGCAAAAACAAATTGAAGGTACCTTGGAAGGTATACCTACCTAATTTTCGTAGTATTTGAATTCTTTTGAAATCGTACCTGTAGATTAAATATAATGAATAGAGGAAAACATTTTGCATTGAAACAGTCAGACCAAAGTAATGGCTCAATTATTTCGGTATTTCTAGATATTTCTATTATTTTGAATTCATGTATTCACAATTCCAGTTTATACAGGATGGCATTGAAATAAGTGCAAATATTTCAAGCACTGAGGAAGCTCGACGTGTACTATCGAATGGCACTAATAAGAAAAATGTAGGGATCAAAATAAAATTTGAGGTTAGAGCCTTTTATCCACTCAAAGTACTACACTGTAGCAAATCTGACATCACCTTTTCAAATTTCCATGCAGTAGGTACAATCAAGCGGAATTCAATCATTTGAATTGTTTTAAAGTGGCGTACTTGATTTTTTTCTCGTATATTGTTCAATTTTTGGGATGAAATTTCTCGTTAATTAAAAGAATTAGCTCGACGTGTACTATCGAATGGCACTAATAAAAAAAATGTATATAGGGATCAAAATAAAATTTAAGGTTAGACCCTTTTATCCACTCAAAGTACTACACTGTAGCAAATCGGACATCACATCTTTTCAAATCTCCATGCAGTAGGCACAATCACGCGGAATTCGATCATTTGAAATGTTTTAAAGTGGCGTACTTTATTTTTTTCTCGTATATTGTTCAATTTTTGGGATGAAATTTCTCGTTAATTGAAAGAATTAGAAAAAATCTGATATCATGGAAATATTCCTTAGACTGTATAATATTAATGTGCTGAATATGTGCACTTATTTCAAAAGCACCTTGTATACTAAGAGGCGAGTCGAGACTACTTCATAAATCACCATATTCGAGACGATATTTTAATTCATTGAGGTTGCATCTGATGAAAAAAATAGATCAGATGGACACATTTTGGCTCCACTGTTTTTTTTCCATAATTTATTCCTTCTAAGGCAAATTTTTGAGAATGCATGAAATCTCTAAGAAAATTCCATATCCTGATTGCCATTCACCTAAGCATTAGCCTGGGCTTAGTTTATCATTCTGGGAGAAAATCGGACAAAATAGAAGTAAACACAAATTTTGATTTTTATTACACGGTATATTTAAAAAAAAAAATTAGACATTAAAAATGAAACTGATAGAGAAATGTAATAGACATATATATCGAAGGATAGATTGTGTTTTTGCTGTTAGAACATTTTAACTAAAAAAAATGTGGTACCTATTGCTATAATTTTTCTTTTTCGATCAGTTCATGCAAAATAATTATACAGGGTGTATCTGAATATCGCCGAAAAAAATCAAGGGGTGATTCCTTGTAATATTTTAGGAAATAAAGTTCATATGAACATGTGTCCTAACTTGTTTCGTTTTCGAGATACAGGGTGATCAATATTTCCATGAAAGATCGTTTTTATATTCATTACTCAATAGAATTGTCTTTTAATCAATTTCAATGAAACGTTGTGGTTTTATTAATAGTAATATGGAGCTTCTTCAGGTGCAATTAGATTCGAAATAATATTTCCAGTGGCGTCACAGTGGGTAAATTTATCTATATTTATAGTGAATGTCATTGTACGCCACCGGCTTTTCTGAGTTTCATATTTTTATTAGATTGAACTATTTAAATAACGGCTTTCTTATCCCTGAGTGATTTTTGTATTCAGCTTAGTTTTTCAGGAATCAATCAAAATTCGATTTGACTCCAAATTTAATGTTGGTGTTTTCAAGACTTCGATTGAGATTACTCAACAACCCCAATTACAATTATTTTGAAATTTCGGGGCTTTCTCAGTCTCCAACCATACTGAATTTTGGCACCATGAAAGCTTATACAGGGGGGTTAGAAATAAAAACAATTACTACTTCCAACTTCAACATATCCCGAGACATATCCTGTATCTCAAAAACGGACACATGCTTATATGTTATATGCACTTTATTTGCTAGAATATCACAAAGAATCACCTCTTGAATTTCTTCAGCGTTATTTAGATACACCCTGTATAAATATTCATTGATGATTCCATGTAAAATGCATTGACTGATGAAGATACATTTTTAAATCCTATTCAGCTGTCGCCAAATTCTCAAATTGGACCAATCCCACTATTATTTTATAATGAACATATATATCCTGGGACCATGAAAATTCTGGACACCATCAAATATCTTGATAGCTATCAATCAAATTTGAAATAGAGAATTAACTGTGCGATAATTATAGTTATTCGTAGATTCGAGGAAATAAACAATGGTTTTCGAGATTTTCCATCGTATCTAAACTTTTGAGCGACCCTGTATATTGAAAACATTATTTTTGCCTCCTTTTCATATGGATACGAAATTTCGATCTAAATAATTTTCATTGATGAATATCCGAGTGAATATATAGTTGATTTCTTTTGTACTCGGTGGCTACCTTACCTTACTTCATACAGAGTGTAACTTTTTCCCAAGGGTTCTGACCAAAACAAAAGCCAGTGTTCGTCGCTGTCGGACGTTGAGAATTACGAATGGAACGGCGGAAACAGCGAAGCCCCAGAAGACCATCCGGAGACGCTAGCATTCAACGGAAACAGCGTGTGAGTTTTTTTTTAATCGAGTACCTATTTTAGCTGTTCAGGAAGTGGTAACGATTCACTCAAATTTTTTTAAACACAACCGTGGGGTATTTTTTTTGTTACAATCGAGTATAGGCAGTGTTGCCAGAGCTGGTACATTTGTATAGATTCAGTACAATTTATACCCTTTAGTTATTTAGTTAGTTTCACCCAATTCTGGTACAATTTTATGTTTTGGTCAGTACATTCGGCTCAAATTTAGTACAATTGAACATTTATTACATAAAGCTACAAATAAAAACAATAGTTAAACTACTTAGTCATTTTTTGATGACACTGTAAATGTTTCGTATCTTTTTGGCTCATTTCTCATCATTTTTGTTTCAATATTTCATGTCTGGTACATTTCACTTGGTTTTAGTTCAATTCAATAGTGATTTCAGCTTAGATCATATAAGGATTTCAGTATAATTAGCTTTTCTTCTTCTGGCAACACTGAGTATAGGTATTTTAGTTGCCTTCTTGTTTTCAGCAGCTTCCCATAAAATCATTGCTGGGCCTATTAAAACGATATGATGGATAACAATGGGATTTCTCTAAATATTTGTGATTTTTTGTCCCAGTTTCTACAACCATCTACAACTAAAATAAGAGTATTGTTTCAGTGTACAGAGAAGTGCACAAAAAACGGCCAGGACTGTATCTTTTGAATTATTCGAGATAGGATTTTGAAAATTGGTGGGCAGCTAGTATACCAAATTGCTCATTAATTGACGAAACAATTTTTGTTCTATCACTTCCGATTTTACGCGAAACGACCCAAAATTTTGATTTTCAAATGGGACACCCTGTATTGAATTCCACATTCGGTTAGGGATTGTCATTACGAATTCATCGATACCGGGTTTGATACGGTTATTTCGAACGATTACGCAGATATTCGCGTTCTAAGTTTTCATATGCTCAATGAGTGTGACAGAGAAAGAAGTTTTGATATTGCGAAGTCACATCTAAACCTAAAAAATAAATGGGATAGTTTATTCCAGAGGTGAACCTCAGTAGAATTCTGATCTACAAACAATTTGAATTTCTGGGAATTCCTTGAAATACCTAGAAATTCCCTGGAATTACTTAAATATCCTTGGAATTCCTTGAAATTTCTTGAACTTTTATGGAATTTCTGGAAATTTCTGGGCTCCTTGAATATCCTTGGAATCCTTAGAATTTCCTTGGATTTCCTCTCGGATTTCTGAACCAGTTTCCAACGTAAACATGGAAAAAATATTCTTGCAAAAGATTTTTTTTTTTATTTCGTTCTCCGACACTTCAAAAAACAATTTTTTGAAATTGTTGAAGAAAATGTATTGACTGCATTGAGACTCTATATCTAATATATAATATTTCGATACTATCCTAATAGCTTCAATACTCAGTGGCCGTAGGTAAAAACTATTATTCGCCACTCTTGAACAAAAAAAAAGATTTTTTTTCTGTAACGGAAAAAAATTTTGGCATTTCATCTCTGTTGGCAGGTTATGAAATGTCACTTTTCACAAATTACTTTTTTCCCGCGGGAAAAAAGTGCGTACTTTTTTCCCGGATCTTTATATATCACATATATATACACTGTTGAAGACTTTTGTTGTGCTATAGTTGCGAAAAATGAGTCAATGATACCGTCTCCGAGAAAGAACTGCAAGTCCTTTTATTTTCCATTCGACTTCGCGGTTACGTATATCACTAAACAACCACTAAATTCGCAATTTTTTGAAATCAAATCACAGAATTAGACTGACAGAAGTGACATCAGATATTTGATTACTCCAAAAAAATGGTAAAGATGCCTACAACGCAGGTGTCCCTATACTGTTAAAAACTTGAAATTTCACGTCGATAATTTTCAGATTTCAAAATAATGTAATATATTCTCAATATTAATTCGTCCTTTCTTCTGTCACAGAAAAAAATAGTGTATTATACACGGGAAAAATATTAGATTTTAGCTCACGGTTTTTTGTCTCCCCCCGCTACGCGTCGGGAGACAACACAACCTGGGGCTAAAATCTACTACTTTTTTTCCTTGTATAATGAATAACTATTTGTGCGCCACTGTTCTGATGTTAATCTGGTTAGAATTCTGCCGATTAGTCACAAATTGAAGTTCACCGCCGTGGCTAGTTTAACGCAATATATCTGTTCAGGTTGTAGTTTGGAAATGGTGTTTTGTTAAGTAGTTGTCGAGTACCCTATATTTTTTCCATTTCAGAGCCAGTGAAGCGAGAAATGCGGCAATAAACAGAAACACATGGTTGCGGACGAGCCTAAGAAGGTCTTCGCCAGTGTAAGTGCTATATTTCACCATATACAGGATGTCATTAATGAATGATACAATAGTCGCTTCCCATGTCATTTTTTCCAGTATTAATTTGAAAGGTTTTTGATACAACAAAATCTCAATAATAATTAACCTTAGTGAATTATTGCTCGTTATATGCGAGTAGAATACTATACTTTGTCCACGACTACTAGTATTTTTCATATATTCATTCATTTTTAATAATTGTTTTATCATGACTTATTCGATATTGAGAAACCTAAAAATTGAATATACCTGTTATATTAATTATTTACCACGACTGATGTACTTCCTCAAGCGAAACGATAGTCACACCAGTGAATAATAGCAGTGAATAACCATTATCCACTGGTCTAAATTTCCTTATGGGTTATATCGCGTACCCTAGGACCTCTAGACCAGTGAATTATGGTTATTCACTGGTGTGAAAAATGGCTACCGTTTTGCTTGAGGAAGTACATGTATTAGGAATATTTTATACAACAGTCGTGGATAAAATAATATTTACCAATTATTTAGGGGTTTTTACGAAGAACAGAATTCACAATTTTATGAACATTAAATGTATCAATTAACATTTTGATCACTATAATCTTAATCAAATGTTATTATTGTATGAAAAAAGTCACATTCATTTTCAGACACCAAGAGAATCTTTCTAATAGAAGATGGGGGTCATTCAGGCAGTAAGTATTAAAATTCCATTATGGTTAAAAATTTTAGATTGTAGAATTTCGATCTCAATTCCTATATTTTTTTATTTATAAGTACTACTACTTTGAAGAAGAAAAATGGAGCAAGTTTTTCTCTGCTTAAATATTTGGAATACATGTAAAAATAATCCATAATATCTACAAATATTTGAACAATGATTCCATACTTGTTTTAGTATAACAGTAGAATAATTATTATGGAACTATATTGATGTTAATTTTGTTGTTTAGCAATGGTCGTCGTCAACTTGGATCGAACGCGCTAGCAAGGTTAGTGATGATTTTTTCCCTCATTTCATCTTTGATTCATTATCTCCTTCTTTGGCAATATTGATTATATGAAAAACTGGTTTCATCTTGAAGTAAACGAGAATCAATCATTGCTTTTCTATGATGAGTATAATAATAAATTGATTTACGAGTTTATTAACAAATGAAAACGGAACGAAAACGTAAAATGATATTTACCTTTTTAATAACATATTTATTGTTGTGCCATTGGTTAAAACCCTTTTAAGGAATTTGGATGACATTCCCTTAGTTCAAATAATAGTGTAATATAGTTTCTTATTTCATATAGTTATTGCCTGAAAACTCAATCTTATATATAGCTGTCTCAAATCATTTTTTATATTATCTCTTGTTCAGTTTTTTTGTACGTTCTGAGGATATTTGAAAATAGTCCCACCAAGTAGATTTTGAAATTTTCAAATATATTTCTGAAGAAGAAAAGTATAGGGGGGGAATTCATGTTGGACAAACTTGTACATACAGTGCGTACACTTAAAACACACCCCCTTTTTCTAATAACCATCAATATGATCAGTTTTTCAAAGAAATAATCCGTGCGGTGAGAATCTTCTACCTGCATTAAAGGATCAGGTTCATTCAATTTTCAAGGATGTTCGTATTGTAGTTTCAATATAAATACGACCACAGAGTGACTCATTTGTGTATGGATCAGGTGTTAGCTCTAATAGCAAATACCGCAAAACGTGGAAAATGTGAGGTTAGTGAGCATATCAACAATAATAATAGCGATTATTTATTTCTCTCCATACTCCACTGTGTTTGGCTCGGTAATCAAATAAAGTCAAACAATATCGTTGTGTGATGCTATTGCAGGCCGTGATTATTCAAAAGGTATCAATCTCGAGAATAAATAATATGGTGTATTTGTATCTCTAGCATAGGCATGAAATGCCAAATCTGCCGAAATCGGAAACAAATCAGGTATGCGTCCCAACTCAAATAACTAACCATAACAAATGTTGTTTTTCTGCAACCGACACAAAAGTCGTCCATTTTGATACCAAAATTAGCTCTTAAATTGACGTTTCTATTACTGACACAAAAATAGGTATGTTGCGAGGCAACATATTTAGTTCCTAGGAGCTAAAGTTGAATTTTAGTTCCTAGGAGCTGAAGTTGAACTTTTGCTCCTAGGAACTAAAAGGATCTACTGGACATCATCAAGAATAAACAACATTGTGACGGTTTGTTATTTGGGTTGAGACGCATACCTGAATTGTTTCCGATTTCAGCAGATTTGGCATTTCATACCCATGCTGGAGATATATATACACCTTATTATAGTTTAGTATTGGAATTATAAACATCTCAGTCAAGTATTTTTGTTTTTATCAGGGAAGCCTTCAAGATTCAAATACTTGCTTGATCTGTATTTCATTCGTTATTCTCGGGATGAATTACTTGTTTTCGAATAATCACGGCAAGCAATAGTTTTTTTGTTTCAAACAACGATATTGTTTAGCTTCATTTGATTATCATGTCAAACACAGTGTAGTATGGAGAGGAATAAATAATCACTTTTATCATTGTTGATATGCTCACTAACCTAACATTTTCCACGTCTTGTTCCTATAGCTGGCACTGGCGCGGTATTTACCATTAGAGCACCTGGTCTATACACAAATATGTCACTCTGTGGTTGTATTTATATTGAAACTACAATTCGAACATCCTAGAAAACCTAACCTGCTGTTAATGCAGGTAGAATATTCTGACCACATGGATTATTTGTCAATAGTTGTTGCATTGCATACATATGGCACGGCATTGGTGGTTACTCGCAAATTTTGCTTTCGCTCGGCTTCGCTAAACGTTCCGCCTCGCAAATGCAAAATTCGCTTGTCAGACAAAGTGTCACTTTTGATCCTAATAAAACAATCTACTATTATTCTTGATGACCTCTAGAACATCCTTTTTGGTTCCTAGGAGCTAAAAGAGTTTCCTAGCAACATACCTATGTTTTTGTCAGTAATAGAAACGTCTATTCAAGATCTAATTTTGGTATTGAAATGGACGACTTTTGTGTAGGTTGCAAAAAAACAATATTTTCATACTTTCATCATAGTATTGTTTTTCATTGTTTCAAATCACCATATGTGAATTCTCATGGGCCTATCAAAACTGCATTTTTGCTAAAACTATGGAGCACACAATACCAGGATAGTTTTCATTAAAAAATAATTATATTTTTATTTCATTAAACACGCACGGCCCTGGCAAAAAAAAGTTTCTCTCTGTGAACTGATCACATTATTGGTGGTTATGACCAATAGCTGAGATATACAGGGTGAGCCGGGAGGAACGCACTAAATTCCAGGTGTGTGTTGTACACGTAAAAATAATTTGAAAAAAAAACATATGTTCTGATACGTCTTTGGTTTTCATTTCAAATTTGTATAGATTTGTGGCATTTTATAAGACTTTAATTGTACAAACTCGATTGTTTCATCTGTTTTTTGTTCTGACATGTCTTCGTGTCAGTGTCAGTGTGTTTGACGCGTTTATTTTCGAGTTTGTACGATTAAAGTCTTTAAAAATGCCACACATCTATTCAAATTTAGAACGAAAACAAATGAGAATCGTATAAAAACATATTGTTTTTTAAAAATTATTTATACCTTTACAATACACACCTGGGGTTTGGTGCGTTCCAACTGACTCACCCAGTATAGGGGAGGGAGTTTGTAGTGAGACACACTGTATAATTAAGGAACACTTTTTTTTCAGTCAGCTGTACAGAAGTTCGAGTTTCAATTCTTCAGGTAGAAGCAGCACATGCGATACCACTGATGATATGTATTCAGATGCTTCTTTGGAAGAGGACGTCCACGATTTACATCATAAAGTAAGTACCTACTCAACTGTTATTTTTCACGCGTTTTTTACAGTGTGTACCTGGATTTGTGAAATGGCTTTTGTGAATGGTAAAAGAGTCTCGATTCAATTTTTTTATTTCAGGGATTGATTTCAGTTTGGAGACTCGTTTCTTATTTAGTGGTGAAAAATTGAGCGTGCTTTTGAAACGAAATCAATCAATTAATAAAATCTTTCTTCCTTTAGACAATAATAACATTGTGTCAGAAACATCAAAATTCTTGAAAAATACTTAAAACACACAATACATAGATACACAGGAACGAAATACAATACAAAAAAAATAACACTGTACTGGACAATCCAAGAAATCTTGCACAGTATAAAAATAATTTTGCACCAAAAATGTTTTGAGGCGCGTTTTGAAAATTTTAAGTTATAAACTTGATTTAATATGCTCAGATAAATGATTGAAAATACGTGGTTCTATAAAGTTAGGTGCATTTTGGGCTACTTTGTATTTTCCAATTTGTGTGTGAATTAAGCCTTTCCGGCGTGAATTCATGTTATGAATGTCTATTAAGCTTAAAATAGGTTATGTTGTAATAAATATAACATGCAATCTCAAATATGTATAAACTAGCGTGAGTCAAAATGTTACTGGATTGAAAAACACCTTCTGTAGGGTAAATACAACAGAAAGTTGAGATTGAGAGAAGTTATTCAGAACAGAATCAACTTCAAGGCGCCCATTTATCAACATTCAAAATGCTCGATCCATAATTTTTCAATTGTTTTAGATTATTTGGCCGAGGATTTGGAATTTTGTGATCCGTACCTAGATTTTGATTCTGAGCAACTTTTCTCTTACATTTTCTCGATACATTTTTGACTAGCCTGTTACTAAAAACCACTATGTTGAAAAAGCGAAGTTCCACTTTCAATTCTAATAATAGTTATATACAGAGAAGTGCACGAAAAACGACCAGGACTGTAACTTTTGAATGGGCGTGTACACCTCAGTAGAACTTTTAACTCAAACCATGTTTATAATGATCCTTTTATACATAAATAATGATTCACGACATAATTTGATCGAAAAATTTACTGAAATGTTTTATTTTTGGACATAAATAATAGTACCTTCTGAAAACGGACCCTCTAATGACGTAGGAACCTCATCTCGCCATAGTTGAAAGAAAATACCAAACGCCCGACGGAGACTGAGGCAACTGATATATCAATTCTTTCAACTGTGATCTCGCGGTAATTCACTCTGTCAGAAATCATGTATTAATCATCTCTGTCTGGTATAGTCTTGTTTCAGTATTAGGGTTTTGACGTCATATCATCGCCTCGTTTCCAGAGGTCCGAAAAATCGGGGATTTCAATAATTTTTTATAAAACGTAGGGAGCTCACAGCAAGAAACGGTTTGCGGTGGTGAGCTAGTTTGGGTGATTTCTATCGAATTATATAAATAAATTTTTTTCGTGATATTAGCCCATTATTCGAGATAGGGTTTTGAAAATTCGTGGGTAGCAAGTATACCAAATTGCTCATTAATTGAGGAAACAATTTTTCTTCTATCACTTCCAGTTTCACCGGAAACGACCCCAACTTTTGATTTTTAAATGGGGCACCCTGTATTATATTCCATAATCGGTTAGGGATTATCATGACTTCGCAATAAAAAAAACTTCTTTCTCTGTCACACTCATTGAGCATATGCAAACTTAGAACGCGAATATCTGCATAATCTTTTGAAATAACCCTATCAAAACAGGTATCGATGAATTCGTAATGAGAATCCCTAACCGATTATGGAATTCAATACAGGGTGTCCCATTTAAAAATCGAAAGTTGGGGTCGTTTTCAGTACAACCGGAAGTGATAGAACAAAAATTGTTTCGTCAATTAATGAGTAATTTGGTATACTAGCTGCCCACCAATTTTCAAAACCCCATCTCGAATAATTCAAAAGTTACAGTCCTGGCCGTTTTTTGTGCACTTCTCTGTATGTATCAAGGGCATAAAGTAGGCTTTTATGGACCGTAGCGAGTGAGTAAGAAAACGCCTAGGTCCGTAAAAGCAAGATACGCCCGAAATACATATTTTTATCTACGACCGATATAGACATTTATATGTCTACATGGAAGTTTTCAATGATTTTTTTTATATATTTGGCCAAATCATGTATGCAACTGGCGAAGAAATAATAAATGCTCGTCTACCACGAATACGGGCGATAAAGTGCCACTTTACACCCAGTTGTGCATAAAATGATATACTAATTTCGATCGTAAAATGATTCGATAAACAACTGCATTTCACAACATTTTTAATCACATTTTAGCTGGTTCAATAATACATTTCTCAACTATCTCAAGTCTAGTTCAGATAGATAGATTGTCAAAATTACTTTGTGCTTCTAATAAAAATGTGCGATGAAAAAAAACCTGATATATCTATAGGTATGTACCTGGTACTCTATGAAACGGATGAAACAGAAAATACATCATCATATTTGTCATCGCGAATGATATTTTTGAGCCAGCGGACTCGCGGAGTATGTTAGTCGACGAAGATTTTCATGAAAAATACTGCCATTTGGATCACTATTTTATAATTTGTTAGGACTCTCTCTTAGGATGGAATCTAAAATAATCATCGTATGTTTGGGTGCTGAAACCCCTATGTTGTAACAGTATTCTAAAAAGGGTTTCTGTTTCTTTCTCATATTTCCTGTCAGTGAAATGAAAGCTAGAGGGATATCCCTTCTGGTGTTTGCCAAAAATTTCTCATCAATTTTTCCATAGTGATTATCCCTTTCATGATATTGATAATTCTGCACTGCAGCAAATTTTCGAGCTAACATAAATAAACCATAAAAAAATCTTGATAACACCCGACTTTATCTATAACTTGACGTAGTCCATATCATTACCAGCACACTGTGTGTGTGTGTAGATAGAATACAATTGAATTCGGAACGGTGACAGTGGGACATTGAAATCGAGTGCGATAATCGAAAGTTGTTCATTTTCTTCGAGAAAATCCGCGTTGAAAGTCGAATCGAAAGCCTATCACAGCCTGTACATGGAAAATTCTAAATTTAAACCAGTATTCATATGAAATAGTGTGTGATGAAATGATCTGAGGCGCAGTCGAATTTCTACGATCTAGATTCTAGATGTTATTTTTGTGTTTTCATCACAGATATTTTTGGATTTTTTTGTGTAGTGATCGAACGCGAGGTGGCTATTCTTGGGGTTAAATCACTGATATACTGGGTGGCTCCCTATGATACGCATGTGTGGTAGTGGTTAGTTAATAACAATGCTCATTTTTCACAAATGATTTTTCTAGAAGCAGATTTCAAAAAAACTGTGATCCAACATTTCGATGATTATTCCCCTATCATGTTGCTGAATTCAGTTTTGATGATTCTTTTATGATTGTTGAAATCCCAGCTTATCGCCGCCATAATTTTCTGTAATACCGGCGCATAAGTAACAGTGGCGTCCCTTAAAAATGTTTGTCTATCAAGGGGGGTGGGGTTAAGCTGAGCAAAATACATTTCACTATTTTGAAATGGGTCTTGGACCATTTTTAATCTATCATCGATTTTTTTCTGGAAAAAAACAAATGCATTTTTTGTAATCCACTGCTTCTATCTCTCAAACAAATGATACAGAATGGCTTACAGTTATTTAACATATGAAATGAAGTTCTAATCCATGAAAATACCACTTAAAAAAATATTCTGTGCAGAATTTAAATGATACATCTTATCACGGTGAATTCATGGACCACAACGCGTACAATCAGTGACCACGTATTATCAGAGTCACCTCGTATATCACCGCATGATAAATTCTCGTTTTTATTAGCCAATCAATTTAATATGAACTGAATGATGGGTCATCACAAGGGTGCGTCAACATCCAGAAGGATAAACCACGGTTTTTCATGAAACATTATAGTTTATTGTGCGCGTCTGGATGTGATTTTTTTTCTGAAAATGAACGGGTCTAACAGTGAAAACGAGGAAACGTCTGAGGATCAGGATTTGGATTTGGATTTGTGGGACGGGCAGTTCGAATTCGTCGGGCCCAACGTGAAAGACTTCAAAATGAGGGATTTTTCGCAGTGCAATGGGTACAAGAGGTTTTCGAATTGCGAAGAATGTGACAGAAGTCAAGAAGCGGTATGTTGCTAACTGTCCTTTATGACATATATTTATTTATTTTTTATGTTTTGGTTCCCACGAAAAGGGATATCCTGTAATGTTCATGGAACATCCTGAGAACCAAGGGAGATAAGGTAGGAATTTGTGTTTCTCTTAAATTTCTGGAGGTTATATGCCTCGGGGAACACCTCCCTTGGCAATGTGTTCCAGAGCCTCGATGTACGTTGGATGAACGAGTCTTTGGCGGGTTAATCTCGCGGGGCCTTCCAAGGGAGGAACAATCGTTGATATTTCAGATGAGCATCGTCTATGAAAATATCTATAAAATAGAGCCAGATTGCCAACATTTCTACGGTGTTCCAGAGAAGTGAGTGAGTTTGTGAGCGAGGCATCACCCACGAGACGAATTGCCCTTTTTTGGACAGAACCCAACAGTTTCAGGGTATGTTTGGGTGCTGCACTCCAAATATGGGAACAGTATTCCAGGACAGGTCGGATCTGTGGCTTATAGATCATATAAGTAGCTGACTGGAAGTGAAATAGCTCCTCGCCCGAAACAGAAAACCAAGTTTTCGGGATGCACTTTTAGCAATTGATCTCACATGATTTTCCCAAGGAAGGTTATTGCTGAAAGTAATACCAAGCATTAAAATGGATGTGGTACTCTCCGTTTATTACTTCAATACTTGGGAAAATAAATGAAATTCAGATTCTCCGAAATTTCAAGAGATATATTGCAGTTTCATGGTTATTTTCAATATTTCTTGAAGAGATTCACAATAGATCCCAATGATCCTGAAACGTTCAAAAGGAAACATCCTCAATATACTTTAACTTTGCTTTTTCCTAATAATTCCACCTCATCAGCAAAGTGAATAAAAATGACATTTGGCCTTTACTATATTGGATAGATGGAAAAGAACAGTTCAAGTTTCATTAACTATCTTGATTGACTAATTTACTAATTATAAACAGTTAATCCACTATATGACCTTATGTGATTATAGAATATTACATTGGTGTACATATAGTGAAAGTAACCACCCTTTGTATTATTGTGCCCTAAAGAAAAAATTGATATTATCCAAAATACGTTACCATCATTTTCAAGCACTAAATTTAGTGATGGTTCCTATTTTTATTTCATAATTGAAAACTTTGTTTACTTATTTCATTCTGATGTGTTTTTATTCTTACAAAAATCTGGCTGAGCATCTGCTAGAACAGAACTATCTGCCATGAAATGTTATGCAGAATATATGCATTATTTTATTTGATTACATGTTTTTCCACTGAGGTCGCAATTTGCAATACAAACATTGTACATGAAGGTATTTTATTAGATAACAGTAGCCTTGGTGATTTCAGAACAGCTTACTCATAGTGTTATCACTTTTTTTATATTTGTATTTGTTATGACTATTTGTTTTTAATAACATTGCATCCAAAAGATAAGGGGTACATCCAAAGAGTTCTGTCAACATTCTTGAATACTTTCTTCTTTTTTTTTTATTGTCTCGGCCGTTAGTTGTTCGAAATCCACTGTAAACTCTTAATTACACCATGTTTCGCTGACAGAGTAGTTTCATATCAGGTGAAAATAGTACAATGAACCGAACTTTTATTGGCTTGCCTAACTTCCATATCCTACTTTCCCAACCTGAAGAATTAAGATTACCTGTGGAAAGGTTTGCTAAAGCCTTCATTTTCGAAAAGTAGGCACAAGAATCTACTTTAAAATTTGTTGTACCGGATTAACTTGAAAGGGATGATTGCCTACTAAGAAAACGAATTCCGTATTATATGTTTTATCTACTGTTTTGTTCAACGACATGAGTGACAAGACTCTAATATCTTTTTGAAAACTTGATTATAATTGGTGAACTTGACAACGTTGCTTCATGAGTGGGAATGGAAGATTATCTGACCAATAACGAAACAGCATAAAAACTGACGTCATCATTCATTCGACGTATCGCCATATGGCGGCCATGACGGTTCGTTTGAAATGAGATCTGAAATTCAACGATTTTGAACAAGAGCGTGAGTAGTGTTGCAAAAATTAATTTAGGTCCTTAAATACATAGTGGAGTAATTGAATGCCAATAATTCATTTTCAGTCCACTGGTTCATTGATGGGATGCAATCGGCAGCGGCCGAAAGGGCTCAAAAGGGTTACGAAAACCTGAAGAAAATTAAAGGTGTTTTCACATTGCATGCCGATGTGAAGAATTGAAGTTTTAGTAACAAAAAACTCCGAAAAAATTGGCATGTGCCCCTCGTCTGTGGTAGATTGTAGATGGGTCGTATAGGCTGAGAGACCTCTCGATCACTGCGACCTAGAAGATCTATTGTGATTACCCCTATCTAGTTTTGGTCCTCTAACCCTAGACTTCTGATGAAGCCTACGATTTTCCTGACGGTTGACTTTTCCACTTCAGCAGGGGTGAGATAGACCTGTTCTAGGTGGTTCAGCCTTTGGCGGACTAATACTTCACATGAGCAAAGTATTTGTTCCGCGGTTTCGGTCGCATTGTTACAAAAGCGGCAAGTGTCAGTCTCCGCCGGTCCCTTCTTTATGAGGTGGTTCCTCAGAGGGCCGTGTCCTGTGAGAAAGCCTGTGATGAGCTTTAGCTCTGGTTTGCTGAGGCTGAGTAACTCTTTGGCTCGGTTCTGCGAATGGTTGATGAACCTTTTCGCTTGTCGTTGACCTGGAGTTGCTCTCCAGTAGGAGGACTTTTCAATTTCTTCCCATTTCCCGAGTTCTCCCCTTAGGTGACATTTGCTTATCCCACAAAAAGGCTCAGGACTAAAAAGTGCAGATGCTGCACCTTTTTTTGCAAGGCGATCAGCTGCCTCATTTCCTTTGATTCCTTCATGCCCTGGAACCCACATAAGTGTGACTTTGTTGCCCTTTCCCAGTTGCATGAGTGTTTCAAAGCAGTCCCATGTAATCTTTGATGTGAAAACGAATGATTTTAGGGCTTTTAGTGCGGCTTGGCTGTCTGAGCAGATATATATGTTGGCACCCCTCAGACCTTTGCTCAGGCACTTTTGGGCGCAAAGGTTGATGGCATGTATTTCAGCTTGGAAGATAGTGGGGGAGTGACCTTAGGCTCCATATACACCCGCGCCTACCCCTTCTTCCATTTTCGAACCATCGGTGTACCAAACAAGGAAACCTCTGTCCAGCTGAGGCTCAGCGGAACCGTACCTAGGGCGGCTTTTTATAACCACTTCAAAGGTATGATCGAAACTGAGCCTGGCTGGCATTATGTCCGATGGTTTGGTTGCAGATTCCATTTGTACTTTTTGTAGAATGACCATGTGACCAGTGACATCACCTGGTCTGGCCAATTCCGTAGAGTTCAATCTGTATGCACTGAGGGCTGCAGTCCTCTTGACCAACAGTGGAAAATTTCGGGAAAGTTTCCGTGATTCCAAACTGCATGCCATTAGAAATATACCTCATTTGTATAATTAATTAATAGTAGATTATTTGGCCTGCACACCAGGATTCTGCAAGAACCCGTCAATTGTTTATATTTTGGGGTTGATTATTATATAAAGCCTTAAAAAGGCATGTAGTGTAAAATGGAAGAACGTTACCTGTCACCATCTACTGGACTATTTCTAATGATTCCAAGTGATCATCAGAACAACAAGTATTTTGATTGAAGCAAACTGACGATACGGATAATGTGATTGTTTGCATCTAACAATCGACAATTTTTGTTCAGTTTCAGGCCCTTCAGAATCAGGTGGGAGTTTTACAGGACTCAGCAAACCAGCACGACGAAAGGTATACGAGGGCGAAATCGGAGAATGCAGCCCTTCAAGCGAGGGTGCTCATGTTGGAGGAGCAGGTCCGAGAAACTGAAATTCGATATGAGGAAAAGTTGCAGGTGAGTTTCAATTTTCATAAATGGAGTTTTCCTACTACTCTTATAATATGTCGCATATCAAGGATCAGTTTTGGCGCCAACATTGTTCCTACTTCATATCAATGACTCTATCCACAGCTTTGCAGATGATAGTACTTTACATACTGCTTTCTAACCTACTGTAGAAGTACATGTTGCCTCAAAATGGAGTGTTTATATAGTAATAATACTCCCAAATCGTCTCCACAATATTCAATATAATCAAATCATAAATGGAAAGGGGCGGACATGTTTTGGATCGAGTATCCATCATCAGCCGATTGAGAAATTATTCTACAAAGAACAAAGCAACAATAATAGGGTATCAATGATGAAACATGGTAGTACTCACGTGGAGAAGAAAACATTTTGGAATCACATGAAATAACTTTTGTAACTTCATGTGATACCCTATTATTATTTATTTATACAACCAAGCATCGCGAACATCTGCCATTATTCATCAATTTCCCTCGCTGATCGTCTGTCATAGGAAAATGTTTCGTAATGTCCTGAAATTGGTGTGAGAAATCTCTTCCAGCTACTATGGGTTTCCAAGTAGCAAATGAAACACTAATTTTTAAACTTACAATACATTTTTAGAACAGTTAATTTTTCGAAATTGACTAAAGTTATGTGATAGGCGCTGTATGATTGGCATTTCAAAGAAACACTTTTATTATCAACCTTGACTCTTGAGGGATATTGCTAACCTAACCTCCTAACTATTATATTAATTCCGAAGACGATATCATACCTTGTTGGTGACACGCCTATTTGGCAATCTAAATTCTTTGATGTATTATTAGTTGCATAACGCAACAACTGCAAATAAGAATACGACGTTAAATTATCATTGTTCTATTCATGAAATAACGAGTGAAATAATCTAAACAAATACGACTCATATCATTGATCATTATCGAAAATTCCTTCTCTTTTTCAAAACAAATTATGTTGCGTTAGAAAACCAGATTTGCGCTATGCGCTCTGGTGTGGTTCAATCCACCTGTTTTGTTACATATGATTATGAGTTATGAGGTTCCCTTTTATATTGACATTTTTTTGAACATTGAGTAGCTATAAACCTCAAGTAACTTTTTGAAACTCACTGTTCACATTTTTACAAATTTTGAGACCATTCAAACTTCTGCTAATTTTTGAAACTTTATGAAACTTTCAGTTTTCCTACCATATTTAAACTCACAGAATTTTTGAAACTTGCATCAGTGTTTTGAAATCACAAACTTAAGACTTTCTCATGATAAATTTAATGATTTTTTTAAACCTTCTGTGCCTTCTTGTTCCTATTGATCCCAACTAACTTTTTGATATTGTAACTGTTCATGGTCATGGCATTTTTACAAATTTTATGAAACAACTTGAACTTTTTGAAACTTTCACTAGGTATCTTGAAAATTCACTGAAAGTTATCAAACCTTCACTGAAACTTCCTCTAACATTTTGAAAATTTCACTAAATTTGTAACTCTGACTAAGTACATCTATGAAACTAGTACCAAAATTTGTATTAGTTTCATGAAATCAGAAACCTTTTAAACATTCAATACCAATATGTTCATGGACGATGCTCTTCTGAAATATCAACAATTCTTCCTCCCTTGGCAGTCCCCGCGAGATTAACCCGTCGAGTTGAGGCTTCGCACCCCTTCGTGGTCACTTTGGAGACCTGCAGAACATCTCTTTCCAAAGACTCGTTCAGCGAGGCTCTGGAACACATTGCCAAGGAAGGTGGCATATAACCTTCAGAAATTTAAGACGAACACCAATTCCTACCATATTTCCCTTGGTTCTCAGGATGTTCTCTGAACATTACAGGATATCCCTTTTCGTGGGAACCAGAACATAACAAAAATACAATATCAAACAACCTTTTGAAAGTCACTGTTTATTACATTTTTACACCAATTTGACCTTCTATCAACCTTTTAAAACTTCCATCTTAAAAATTCCTTTCGTTCTTAAAACTTTCACCAATTTTATGAAACTTTTTATACCATCCTGAAACTACCCCTAGATTTCTGAAACTGTTACTCCATATATGGAACTAGTTCCAAAACTTTTGAAACATTCTAGGTTCATGATGAATCATATTTTTTAAAAACATTCATGACCTATGAACCTCAACAAACTTTTTGAAACTCTCACTGATCATGAGTTTTTCCTTGTAGGACGAGCAGAGAAGAACGAAGGAACTAGTAGCCCGCTTGGAGAGGGAAAAACAATTGCTGTTGGAGAACGCGAGCATCCGGTTGCATGGCTCCGAGGCGGAGTGTTCTAACCTCAAAGAGGAGGTGGCAAGGCAGAGGACACATTTTGAGAAAATTGAGGTGCAACGGCAGAATCTGATGGAGCAGGCTCAGGATCTGGCGAGCGAGGCGCAACACGCGAAAGAAGAGGTTAAAATGATGAAGGATCAAGAAATTAGGTAAGAAAAAAGGACGAGTGGACTGATAAAAAATCATTGGCCGTTCGAAAATCAACGTGGCATTATTGATGCTGTCAGCGCCTTTAAATCGACCGAAAAATCAAACAAAAAAAAAAAAAAAGAAATTGAAAGGTAATTGAGTGAAAAAGAATACTCCACTCGCCTATTACCAATACCAGTCTCATTATCATTTTTTATTTCTATAAGGCAATCTAAATAGAATTAGAATCAATATGGCGTCTGGTCTTACTACTTAAACTCACTATCTGCAAAGTGCGTACTTTTTATAGTCTCACTATTTAGTCACGAAAACTTTCAAACGTTTCAAACTGAAATTTTAAAACCTTTTACAACTTGAACTTCTACAAACTTTTTGAAACTTTCACTTTCTTGTAAATTTCACAACATTTATGAAACTTTTACGTCTTTTTTATATAGAATAAGTGCGGGGTCCTTTCTCTAATTTTTTGAAACTCACTAACTTTCTGAGACCGCCTACTAAAAATTTAAAAATATCTCTCCGAATATTTCCCAGACCGAAACGCGTGTTCAAAGCCCAACTCCATCTCGTCCACGACCTCTACAAAGAGCTAGAGCCTCTGAGCTCAGAATTCCACACTTCCGCCATGCTCCCCACCTCCCCAGCTGCCCTCCTCCGGCTCTAGAAGCTCAATAAACCTCAACCAACATCTTGAAACTCACTATTCATGGCATTTTTACAAGCAACTTGAACTTCCACTGAATTTTTGAAACTATCAATAAATTTTTGAAACGTTCACTAACTTTTTGAAACTTTCACTAACTTTTTGAAACATTCACTAACTTTTTGAAACTTTCACTAACTTTTTAAATTTTTCACTAACAGACTGAAACGCGAGTTTGAAGCTCAACTCCACCTCGCCGACGACCTCTCCAAAGAGCTCGAACGGCTACGCAACGACGCCCGCACCCCCGCCTTACCCACCACCTCCCCAGCCGCCCTCCGGCTCGAGGAGCTGCACGAGGAGATGGGGGCGGTGCGCGAAGAGAACTCCAGGCTGCTGGAGGAGAACGCCAGACTGGCCGAAGCCAACGACGAGCTGCAGGCCAGTTTGGTGCACGCCGGCTTGGAGACGGGGAGGATTTTGTCCCTTGGGGAAAAGAGTCTTGCTGCCGAGTTGGACGTCATGTCTCAGGACGAGGTTAGTGAAGATTAGTTGGCGTTCTCGTTCAGTAGAAATGTGAATTTTATGTTGCTTCATCGGTGACTGATGTTTAATTTTGTGAACTAATTGATATTTTGTTGACCACTTACTATAGTTTGCAATGTAATATAACTATCAAGCTTTTACCTCAGCACTGCTTGATGATAGCAACTTGATATGAGGGTCAAAGTCACTTCTCTATGTTCGCAAAACAGTGACTTAGGTTTCTCTGTCTCTGTTGAGTTCGACGGTCCCTGCTCTGGCGCCAATTCGGTCACACTTCACTTTCGACATATTTCTAGTATAGTATTACAACGCATAAGTTTCTAACCATCTACCAAGTGAGGGCCGCAATCGAATGTCCATGTTGTTCACAAAATAATCTTTCTCAGTCATAGCAACTTGAGAATACAAAAAATTAATTATCCGGCCTCGAACACTAATCTTGAGTTTGACGGTCCCTGCTATGGCGTCATTTTGTTCACCCAATCTAACCTGACCTATTTCTAGCATTGAAATACAGCGCATGAGTTTCTCACCCATGAAATATTAATCTTAGCAACTTGAGAGCAAAAGCGGACATGTCTTTCTCAGTCATAGCAAATTGAGAGCACATGAAATCGATTATCCGATCTCAAACACTCATCAGTCACTTGTCTATGTTGGCAATGCACTGACTTCAGTTTTTCTGTCTCTTGGTTTGACGGTCTCTGCTCTGGTGCCAATTTGGTCACTCACTTTAGCTTTGACCTATTTCTAGTATTAGAACGCATAAGTTTCAAACTAATGAAATATTGATCTTAGCATCTTTAGGCAGGAGAAAACATAGTGTATCCGGTTCCAAACACCTACCAAGTGAGGGGTCGCAGTCAATTGTCTACGTTAACAAAAAACTGACTTCAGTCTTTGTCAGTCTCACTTAGTATTTTATCGACTACCTCGGTCCCTGCTCGGGCGCCAAATCTTCAACATACTATGAGATAAATATGTTCGAAACTTTTTATTTGGAATATCACTACAAACATGGATCTAAACATACATCTATGAGTCTAAAACATATGAAACCTCATTATTATGTGTACTTTGAAACTTCTAGACTCAGGAATTCTCATTGCAATCTTCATGATAAACATTTTCACCAATTATTTTTAGTAGTATTATTATTATTCTGTATCATGAAAATTATCATAGATGCGGAATTTGTATTTAAAATTCTGTGTATTTCTTCTTTGGTCGAATTTTCAACTACTACGTGAATGTGACTGAAAAATTGGTTGTTTATTGTTTTTTTCCAAATCGCAAATAAAACTTCTAACTTTCATATTTTCATGGCAGGTACATCAAGCATTGAAAGAACAACAAGAGGTGAACAGGCAGCTTAGGACTTACATCGAGGGTATTTTACTCAATATAGTGGAAAACCATCCACAATTGTTGGAAGTGAAACATCGACCCGTTTGAGTGTTGGTCAGTTTCAATAAATGCAAAAATACATTTTTCCAATAAATAAAAAAATATCTCTTGTTCCTAAAATGGTTTGAAAATTCATGGAGAAGAAACATTCATCTCTATCAATTGTAAGTGCAATATATTTCAGATATTTATTTTCTTTGCTTAATAGTAGTCAACAAAGGAAAGGGAAGGGGTAATAGAAAATTAGTTGATAAATTCGAAAGTTTGATACTATTAATGAAGCTACTGACTATTGCCAATATTTTTATTTAATTTAATTTTCTCTTACCCTTTTATGCGTCATAGTGAATACCTAGGATATCAAATAGGAAAATGACATTGAATCAATTTTATTTTTTCAAACGTCAATCCCTACGGCTCTTTTGTCAATTAAAATAGAATTTAATAGTGTACATATTTTTTTGTACATATTTGTACAGTTGTTTGATATTACATCGTAGTATGGACTTGAAAATATTCGGAGTTTTTTTTATAGCATTTCTTCAAGCTCATACATCGATGTGATATTTTATTTTTATGAAAATATATTTTTATAATAATTACCAGATTACTTTATGTATAATATGAGTATATTTAGAAGATTTCGAATGTTTCCTGTTTAATAATAGGAGCTTAGTCACAAGAAAAATTAATATTCTTGTGGCTGGAATATTTTTTATTCATTGATTCAAACTGTTGTTAAAAAAATCACAAAATTTAACTTCTATTACTTATTCTGTCTCTCTAGGTGCATGATCAGAAAAAATGTCAGCCCTATATATGAAAAATGACTGAGCAAATTTTAGTAGATTGAACTTGATTCTAGAGAGACACTAGTTGTTATAAATATAATACAGTGTGTCCCACGGTGAGAGATACGAGGTCGGTTAAATGACACCAAATGTGGAGTTTGTCGAGGCCAACTATAATGTGAAAAAATATTTTGATAAAATCTATTCGTTTTTTTTTATACGCAAAAAACAGATTTTGATCATTTTCATGTCTCCTCCGTAACTTCTTTATTTATGAAAATATTCAAATAAAAATTTCACATTCTCATGGCAGTTTTTCAAAGTGATTTCGAAAAAAATATGAAATTTATACCAACTCTTCTAGAATTTGAGATATACGCACCAACTTTAGTTTTTCAAATGTAGGTCATAGCTCACTATGACTCAGTTACAAATAACTTTTTTTTCTCTTACAGATGATATGTCGCAGTAATAGTTTTGTGTTGATAACAACGGAGTTATCGTCATTCATACAAAATCAGAAAATTATTCGGAAGCCGTCATCTTGAATTTATGAATTTCAACAGGAAATTCATGATCTCCGACCTCAAAAACCCCTACTTACCAATTTTGAATGGAATCGGACCAAATCTTGTCCGCCATCTTGGAGCAGCCATTTTTTTTAATTTCAACAAAAATTCCATAACTCCGATTAACTTGAAATTTGGTAGGTGTTCATAGTTTCGGTGACAATACATTATGGAATTTTTGTTGAAATTAAAACAAAATGGCTGCTCTAAGATGGCGGAGATCATGATTTTTTTGTTGAAATTTATAAATTCGAGATGGCGGCTTCCAAATAATTTTTTGTTTTTGTATAAATGACGATAAATCCGTTGTTATCAACACAAAACTATTACTGCGACATATCATCTGTAAGAGAAAAAAAAGTTATTTGTAACTGAGTCATAGTGAGCTATGACCTACATTTGAAAAACTAAAGTTGGTGCTGATATCTCAAATTCTAGAAGAGTTGGTATAAATATCATATTTTTTTCGAAATCACTTCGAAAAACTGCCATGACAATGTGAAATTCCTATTTGAATATTTTCATAAATAGAGAAGTTACGGAGGAGACATGAAAATGATCAAAATCTGTTTTATGCGTATAAAACAAGAACGAATAGATTTTATCAAAATATTTTTTCGTATTATAGTTGGCCTTGACAAACTCCACATTTGGTGTCATTTAACCGACCTCGTATCTCTCACCGATAAAAAGATACCCATGGTGAGCATGGTAAGTGGGACACACTGTATACAAAACCTTTGACTATGTTTCATAGATATTTCAATGATGTGGCAAATAATTTTGATATGGTACCTATATAGGGTCTTTCCTAAGTAGATACAGGAAGAATCATAATTGCTGTGTAATGCAGTCTTTTTCAGATGTTTTATGATATATTTTTTGAAGAAACCTGATCTTTGTCTCAGCATTGGCATAAATCAAATCAGTTAAAAAAATAATTACTGTTAATGATAATAATTATTGAGATAGTGAATCCTAACATAAATTAAAACACATTTTCAGCTTCACAAACATTGAATAAATGTCAAACAATAAATTGGGAAATCTATATTTTATTGAATGATTTTGTGAGCAAATATTCAGACTTAGTTAATTGGATTTTATGATTAATAGAATTTTGAAAAAAATGAGACTTTTGCCAAGCCTGATGGTCAGCCTTTGATCTGCTCAGAATGAGAGGAAATTTCAAATAAATTTGTTGCCGTCCTACTATGTGATTAGACTGTGATTAGGATTTTTAGAGAAAAAAAAGGAGTTTTTTGATGAGTACTTAATAATAATAATAATAGAAATAATAATATTTAAGTACTCTGCATGTTGGCGGAATCTTACTAGGAAATTTTGCAAATCGTATTGAAAAGATAATTGAACAAAAAATTGAATTATGAAAAGGAATCACAAAAAAAAGGATCTGCCCTTTTTATCATTTATATTTTTCTTGTTGAAAGCAATTAATATTTTCTTTATATTGATTGTGAACGTTGTCCAATCTTTTTAATTTTTTGGGGGATTATCTCTAAGTTTTGATTTGTCATCTCCAATATCTTTTCATTTCCTTGAGAACATTGTTTTTATGCCTATTATTTTTTTATTGGATATTAGGCCAATCAAATAATTATATTTTGAGGAATTAATTTCCAGCAAGCTGGAAATCATTTAATTACCTTCATTCGGTCCCAAATGCGTGTAATCTAAGTTTGCACCATTCCAGGAGTTGAGCTTAACTTTTGATAACCAAAAAACCGCCAAATTTTTGCACTTTTTTTATTTTTTTGCTTATAGCTGCAAAATGGTTCATCGGTCGAAAAATGTCATTCTATTCAATAATATAGAAGGCAAAATTCTCCGTCGAATGACATCTGAAAACATCAAATTCCGTTTAGTAGTATAGCCGAAATCGAATGTTAAAAAAGAAGAAAATTTCGTAGTTCGGTGCAAGCTTACATTTTGCGGCTTTCCAAGACGACATATCGTGATAACAGATACTCCTATTGAAAAAACCCATAAAATAAAATTTGTAGAGAATAAAATTTTACGTTATATAGATAGATGTCCAAATGTTTAAGTTTTCTTGATTTGTCCAATTATCCGGATATCTGAATGCCCGGTTCAGCTTCGGTCCCAAATTTTGCATCAATTTATAATTATTTTTCATCTAGTGCGCGAAATGCTACTTTGGTGATCGAGAGCTGATTTTTTTAACGAGGCGCAGCCAAGTTAAAAAATAGTCGAAATCACCAAAGTATTTCGCGCACGAGTTGCACCGAACTACGAAATTTTCTTTTTTTTAACATTCGATTTCGGCTATACCTCTGAACTGAATTTGATGTTTTCAGATGTCATTCGACGCAGAATTTTGTCCTCTGTATTATTAAATGGAATAACATTTTCCGTCCGACGCACCGTTTTGCAGCTATAAGCAAAAAAATAAAAAAAGTGCAAAAATGTGGCGGTTTTTTGGCTATCAAAAGTTAAGCTCACCACCTGACATGGTGCAAACTCAGATTACACGCATTTAGGACCAAATAGAGGTATTAAAACGATTTCCAGTTTGCTGGAAATTAATTCCTCGAAACGGTTTTTTTCGATTTAATTTTATTAGCCTATATTAGGATTGAACAGAGTTATTTTTATGTGGAAAATGATCTTTTATTAAAGTTGATAATATTGTGCATTGATATTTGTTCTTTTTTGTAAATTGTTGTAATATTATTGTTGATATAAATAATAAGATACTTATAGGAAATAAATTTTTATCTATTATTATGTTTTTTTTCTACATGCTATTGACAATTCAAATGATAATTCTACTAGTGTTTAAATACCTGAAGACATTCCACAGTTTTTGATAAATGATAAATCATCAACACCTTCGAACTTTTTTGACATATTTCGAGGTGTCAGAATGGGGTGAAAACTCGCATACTCGGGTATTTTTATGTGCTGATCAAAAATCTGAAGTCCAATTCTATTTATTTCACTTAGTTCTCGAGATATTCGCGATCAAAAATTGAATCGCTGATAGGATGTCCAAGAATTTCTTTTAGTGGAAAAATTTCGTGAAATCAATTTAGTTAAGCCGAAAATTCAGTAATCATGATATCTCCAGTCAATTGAGGTACTAGATCGAGAAATTTTATATAAAAGGGTACCGCAAGGAAAGAAAAGCAGGTAAAAAATTGCATCTTTTTTCCAATGGAAGCTAGAGAACTGTGCTTCTACTCCGCACTAGGCCATCCCTCAAGGACCCTGTACACTAAATTTGAAAGCTCTACTACAAACTAGATTTTTGGAGATGAAGAATAAACAAGGTTAACCCCTTTGAACTTTTTTCAAATATTTCGAGGCGTCAGATTGGGCTAAAAACTTGAGAACAGAATCTGTTCAACTTGCTGAACAAGAATCTGAAGCTAGTTCATTCCTATCTATTTCAGTTTTGCAGATAATATCACATTTGAAAATGAGAAAATTATCTGGAAGATCGCCGAAATGACGGCAGATTTTTTTTTCAAGGCAAAATACGTGAATCAACCAATGGTACCAGTTTCTTTTCGTGGAAAAAAATCTTGAAATCAATTTAGTTCAGCCGAAAATTCAGTAATCATATCTCCAGTGAATTGAGGTAATAGATCGAGACATTTTATATAAAAGGTACCTACCACAAGGAAAGAAAAACAGATAAAAA